CAGCAATATGGAGTTCCAATCCTCCACTATCTTGCTAATTTGTTGTCAGCCCTTTTAATTGTAGCCATTGTGGTGGATATATAGTGCTATTTCATTGTGGTTTTGATTTACATTTCCCTGTTGAACTTTGATGTTGAACATCTATTCATACACTTATGGGCCATTTGGAAATCCTCATCTGTGAAGTGCCTGTTCAAATTTACATCTATTATTTTATTGTATATTGGTTGTTTTTTTGTTTTGTTTTGTTTTTTGTTTTTGCAAAAGACATTTCAGGCAAGAGTATTGAAAGTGTGGGGCTGTTTGGAGTGTAAGGTGTAAGGTGGGGAGGAGGTATAGAGAGCTAATATTACCCTCACTGTTTTTGCAAGTAAGGAAACTGAAGCGTAGAGAAGCTAAATAACTTGCCCAAGTAAGTGGCAGAGCCAGTGTCTATGGTTTTTATCCCCCAACTTTATTGAGGTATAATTGACAAATTATATTTCAAGTATACAATGTGATGATTTGATATGTGTATACATTGTGAAAGGATTCTCACCGTCAAGTTAATTAACACATCCATCACCTCACATCTTTACCCTTTTTTAGGGGCAGTGCTTGTACTCCTAACCACTGTGATATTCCCTTTTGTAAAAGTCATAGGATCTTGAATGTGAAAGGAACCTTAGCGATTGTCTGATGTAATCCTTTCAATTTTTGTTCTTTTTTTTAATTAAAAAATTTTTATTTTATCATGGTACAATATACATGACATAAAACTTACCATTTTAACTGTTTTTAAGTGTACAGTTCCATGTCATTAAATACATTCATGTTGTTATGCAACCATCACCACTATTCATCTCCAGAACTTTTTCATCTTTCTATACCAAAACTCTGGACCCATCCAATAATAATTCACTAACCCCTTTCCCCCCAGGCCCTGGTGACCACCATTCCACTTTCTATTAACTTGACTATTTTAGGTAGCTTTATATAAGTGGAATCATTAAATATTTGTATTTTTGTTTTTGGCTTCCTTTTTTTTTTTTTTTTTTTAAGATTTTATCCATTTATTTGAGAGAGAGAGAATGAAAGATAGAGAGCATGAGAGGGAAGAGGGTCAGAGGGAGAAGCAGACCCCCCGCCGAGCAGGGAGCCCGATGCGGGACTCGATCCCAGGACCCTGGGATCATAACCCGAGCCGAAGGCAGTCGCTTAACCAACTGAGCCACCCAGGCACCCTGTTTTTGGCTTCCTTAACCTAGCATAATGTCTTAAAGATTCCACTCACTCATGTTGTGGCATATATCAAAATTCCCTTCCTTTTTTTTTTTAAGATTTTTTTAAAATTATTTATTTATTTATTAAGATTTTATTTATTTGAGAGACAGAGCACAAGCAGGGGAAGTGGCAAGCAGAGGGAGAGGGAGAAGCAGGCTCCCCACTGAGCAAAGAACCTGATGCGGGGCTCAACCCAGGACCCTGGGATCATGACCTGAGCCGAAGGCAGATGCTTAACCGACTAAGCCACCCAGGCATCCCAAGATTTTTTTATTTTTAAGTAATCTTTCCACCCAACATGGGCCTTGAACTTACAACCCCAAGATCAAGAGTCACATACTCTACCAACTGAGCCAGCCAGGCTCCCCAGAATTCCCTTCCTTTTTAAGGCTGAATAATACTTCTTTGTAACCACATTTTGTTTTCTATTCATTAGTTGATAGACAAGTTGCTTCTACTTTTGGCTGTTATGAATAATTTTTCTATGAACATGGTTGTGTAAATATTTAAGTCCCTTCTTTCAAATCTTTTCTGTGTGTACCTAGAAGTGGAATTGCTGGATCATATGGTAAATCTATGTTTAATTTTCTTGAGGAACTGCCATTTTATATTCCCACCAACAATATACAAGGGTTCCAATATCTCCACATCCGGGCCAATACTTTTTTCTTTTTCTCTTTTCTTCCTTTTTTTTTTTGTAATAGCCACCCAGATGGGTGTGAAATAGTCTTATTGTGGGTTTTCTTTTTTAAGTTTATTTATTTATTTATTTTAAGTAATCTCTACACCCCATGTGGGACTCAAACTTACAACCCTGAGATCAAGAGTTGCACACTTCCAGCTGAGCCAGCCAGCCACCCCTCTGATTGTGGTTTTGACTGGATTGCCCTAATGATTAGTGATCTCTCTATGTGCTTATTGGCATTTCTTCTTTGGAGAAACATCTGTTCAAGTCCTTTCCTCATTTTTGAATCAGGTTATTGTGTTGTTGAGTTTTAGGAGTTCTTTATATACTGTGGATATTAATCCTTTATCACATAGATGATTTGCATGTATTTTCTCCCATTCTGTAGGCTATTTTTTTTTCACTTTTTAAAAAACTTTAAATTTAATTAATTAACATATAATGTACTATTAGCTTCAAAGATAGAGTTCAGTGATTCCTCACTTACATAATACCCAGTGTCCATTACATCACGTGCTATCCTTAATGTCCATCATTAGTTACCCTATCCCCCCATTCCACTCCCCTCCAGCAACCCTCAGTTTGTTTCCTATGGTTAAGAGTCTCTTACGGTTTATGTGGGCTACCTTTTTACTTTGTTGATAGCATCCCTTGATGCACAAAGTTTTTAATTTCGATGAAGTACAATTTGTCTTTTTTTTCTTTTGTTGCCTGTGCTTTGATGTCATAGCCAAGAAATCATTGCCAAATCCAGTGTGGTGAAGCTTTTCCCGTATGTTGTCTTCTAAGAGTTTTTTCATTTTAGGTGTTATGGTTAGGTCTTTGATCAATTTGAGTTTAGTTTTTGATATGGTGTTAGGTAAGGATCCAACTTCATTCTTCTACATGTGGATATCCAGTTTTTGCAGCACCATTTGTTGAAAAGACTGCCCTTTCCCCACTGAATGGTTGAAAATCATTTGACAATATATGAGGGTTTATTTCTGGACTCTATATTCTACTTCATGGATTTATATGTCTGTCTTTATGCCAGCACCATATTGCTTTGATTACTGTAGCTTTGTAGTAAGTATTGAAATCAGGAAATGTGAGTCTTCCAACTTTGTTCTTCTTTCTTTTTTTCTTTTTAAGATTTTATTTATTTATTTATTTGACAGAGAGAGAGAGAGCACAAGCAGGGGAAGCAGCAGGCAGAGGGAGAAGCAGGCTCCCTGCTGGAGCAAGATGCAGGCTCAAGCTCAGGACCCTGGGATCATGACCTGAGCCGAAAGCAGATGCTCAACCAACTGACCCACCCAGTCACCACTGTTCTTCTTTTTCAGGATTGTTTTTACTCTTTGGGTTTCTTTGAGATTTCATATGAAATTTAAACTTTTTTCTTTTAGTAACAGGGCTCAAACTCACAACGCCAAATTCAAGAGTCACATGCTCTTCCAACTGAGCCAGCCAAGTGCCCCTCAGGCATTTTAGGATGGAATTTTCTATTTTTGCACAAAAACGTTTTGCAAAATCATTGGGATTTTGATAAGAATTGCATTGAATGTGTAGATCCTTAGGTCTTAATAATATTAAGTGTTCTAATCCATGAACATGGGATGTCTTTCCATTTATGTATATCTCCTTTAATTTCTTTCAGCAATGTTTTACAGTTTTCATTGTACAAGTTTCTTACTTCCTTGGTTAAGTTAATTCCTAAGTTTTTGTTTGTTTGTTTGTTTGGGGGGGAGGGGGAGAGGGAGAGGAAAAGAGAGAATCTTAAGCAGGCTCCATGCCCAGCACAGAGCCTGATGTGGGGCTCGATCTTATGACCCTAAGATCATGTCCTGAGCCGAAATCAAGAGTCGGACACTTAACTGACTGAGCTATGCAAGCGCCCATTTTTTAATTCTTTTTGATGCTATTATAAATGGATTGTTTTATGATTTCCTTTTCACATCATTCACTTTAATGTATAGAAATGTAACTGATTTGGGTGCCTGGGTGGCTCGGATGGTTAAGCGTCTGCCTTCGGCTCAGGTCATGATCCCAGAGTCCTGGGATCGAGTCCTGCATCGGGCTCCCTGCTCCTTGGGAGCCTGCTTCTCCCTCTGCTTCTCTCTCTCTCTCTCCCTCTCTCTCTCCATCTCTCATGAATAAATAAATAAAATCTTTAAAAACAAAAAAAGAAATTAACTGATTTTTGTGTGTTGATTTTTTTAAAAGATTTTATTTATTTATTTGAGAAAGAGAGCACAAGTTGGGGATGGGGTGAGGGGCAGAGAGAGAGGGAGAAGCAGACACCCCGTTAGCAGGGAGCCCGACACAGGGCTCGATCCCAGGACACCAAGATCATGACATGAGCCAAAGGCAGACACCCAGCTAACTGAGCCACCCAGGTGCCCCTGTGTGTTGATTTTTGTATTCTGCAACTTTAGTGAGTTTATTAGTTCTGGCAGTTTTATTTGTGTGTAGAGTCTTTAAGATTTCTACATACAAGACCATGTCATCTGCGAACAGATAATTTTACTTCTTCCTTTCCAATTTGGATGCTCAACCCCCTTTTTTCCTTACTTAATTTTTCTGGCTGGAATTTCTTTTTATTTTTTTTTAATTTATTTTTTTCTGGCTGGAATTTTCTAATCCTATGTTCAATTAAGGTGACAAGGGTTTGCACCGTTTTCTTGTTCTTTAATCCCATCATTTTATAGATGTGAAAATGTAGGGCTAGAGAAAGGCGTTTACTTGCCCATAGTTATACAGCAAGTTCATAGCAAAGCAGGAACTGGCATCCAGACCTTTTTAACTTCTGATCTGGTATTCTTTCCATTATGTTAGGTTGACAGCAATATGGATAGCTGGTTATGGAAAGGGGCAACATGATTCTCTTATTCTGTGTTTACTTTAGAATATGACACCAATAAATCATAATAGATGACAGTGTAGAGAAATTTTAGTGTTATGAGATATTTTGCTATTTGATTTGTAACTCCTAATTTTTACATCTGATGCATATAATGTAAATGAAGTTTACTTAACTTTCAGAATGTCATTATTCTTCTTTGCATTTCTTCAGTGCAGTTACAATTGGAACTGATATGCTGGAATTGGACTGCCATATTACAAAAGATGAGCAAGTTGTAGTGTCCCATGATGAGAATTTAAAGAGATCAACTGGGGTCAATGTAAACATCTCTGATCTCAAGTACTGTGTAAGTAAAAATGCATGATAAACTAATATCTAGTAGACATTAGGGCCTGTAGCGTTTTTAAAAACAATGAATGCCAGATAGTGCTCCAATAAATAGTAAAAAATAAATGATAGTGATTAAATAGTGAATGCCAAAGGAAATTATAAAAACTATTCTAATTTCCAGTGAGGATTTATACTCACTACAGAAATCTGTGGATACATCTTTGGAGACTTATTTTTATAAGTATTTTAACAAGATTACCAAAGTCCTCAAATGTAAAACTATTGTACATGAAATTGCTTGAAGTATTCTACAATTTATTTGATTCAGATTAAATATATGAATTAGTTTTAGTCTTCAAGTATGGGAAATCCGATTTTAGTAGTTTACTTGCCATTATAGTAAAGACTGATAAATGGATGGAAAATAATGCTTTATTTTACCACCTAAAGAAAACTTACATTAACAGGATACTATCTGTATGTGTACCCTGTATGTTTTTTGCCTGGTTGTGATCCTACTGTATATTATATATATTGTGTTGTTGGTTTTTTTTTTTTTAAGATTTTATTTATTTTTTGACAGAGAGAGAGACAGCAAGAGAGGGAACACAAGCAGAGGGAGTGGGAGAGGGAGAAGCAGGCTTCCCGCCAAGCAGGGAGCCCGATGCGGGGCTCGATCCCAGGATCCCAGGATCATGACCTGAGCCAAAGGCAGACGTTTAACGACTGAGCCACCCAGGCACCCCTATAGATTGTGTTTTTGAACACTTTAACATTATGGCATGATACACATTTTTCCATGCTTTTTTTAAAAAAGATTTATTTATTTTAGAGAGCGAGAGTGAGAGAGAGTGAAAGCAGGGGGAGAGGGAGAGAGTGAATCCTCAAGCAGACTCCCTGTAGAGTCCGACGTGCGGCTTGATCCCAGGACCCTGAGATCATGACCTGAGCTGAAACCAGGAATCAGACGCTTAACCAACTGAGCCACCCAGGCACCCCTGCTTTTTCTTTTTTTTTTTTTAAATAGACTTTAGTTTTTAGAGCAGTTACGGTTCACAGCAAAATTGAGCAGAAAGTACAGAATAGCTTCTGACACTACATGTACAGCCTCCCCCTCCCCCATCAACATCCTGTACCAGAGTGGTACATTTGGTACAGTCTATGAACCTACAGTGACACATTATCATCCCAAAATCTATAGTTAACATTAGGGTTTATTCTTTTTTTTTTTTAATTAATTTATTTATTTAACAGAGATAGAGAGCACAAGTAGACAGAGAGGCAGACAGAGGTAGAGGGAGAAGCAGGCTCTCCACTGAGCAGGGAGCCTGATGTGGGGCTCGATCCCAGGACCGTGGGATCACGACCTGAGCCAAAGGCAGCCGCTTAACCGACTGAGCCACCCAGGCGCCCCTAGGGTTTATTCTTAATGGTGTACGTTCTATAGGTTTTAAACATAGGATGACATGTCGGTTTTAACATATAATGATGTATCAACTATTATAGTGTCGTACATAATAGTTTCATTGCCCTAAAAATGCTCAGTGTTCTGCCTGTTCATCCTTCCTGCCCCCCCGCCCCCTGGCAACCACTGATCTTTTTATTGTCTCCATAGTTTTACCTTTTCCATAATGTTATATATTTGGAATTTTGTCTTATTTAGCCCTTTCAGATCCCATTCTTATTTTTCATAAACATTTCAAGTGACTGCAGTTATTCCATTGAGTGGATATAGAGTTATTTCTAACCATTCCTCCTCTGTTGTTGGGCATTTGAATTAGTTCTAAGTTTTCACCATTAGAGATAATACTGCACTGAACATCTTCATGCGTAAAGATAAAGCTTTCTCTATATTTATATGCTTATATAGAGTTTTTCAAAGATATATATTTATGAAGGCATGTATATAAATATATTTATATTTATTGAAAATATCAATATAAAAATAAAAGTTATCTCTATTGTTAGTATATGTGCTGCCAAAGCAAGCACAAGTTATCTCTGTTTTTAAAATTATTTCCCTAAATAAACTCCCAGCAGGGAAATTACTGGGTAAAAGATTAGGAATATTTTAGTGGCTTAATATATATTGAAAGTCATTATTGCCAACCTGCTTTCTAAAAGTGTTTAAGAGTTTCAAAATCTGGGGCACCTGACTGGCTCAGTTGTTAGAGCATGCAACTCTTGATCTCAGGGTTGTGAGTTCAAGCCACACATTGGTCTCAGAGATTACTTAAAAATAAAGTAAAAATTTCTTAAAAAGTGCAAAAATGTGGTGTTAGAGGAATTCCCATTTTGCTGTACCCTTACCATTATTGGGTATTATAATAACAAAAATTTCCTAAATTTAAATTTTAATTAGCATTTATTTGATTATTTGTGAGTCTAAAGATTTTACTGTATTTAGTCATTTTTTAAAATTGTCTATCTTGACACTTGTCTACTGAGATATTTATATATTTATTATTTGAAAAGGTCCATATTAAATAGTACAGATTTCTTCTAAATTGTGAAAGTAAGTAGTTATATGTTTAATTTGCTGTTTGGGATGTTTGGCTAAAGCGTGCCTTATGTAAACATAGGTAATGTTTTTATTTTATTTTTTTGAAGAAGCAAATCTTTGTCTTACTGTAAGACACTAAAATACTTCAAAATTTTTGAGAGTTAACTGTTTTTCAATCATATCTTTTAAAGGAACTCCCACCTTACCTTGGCAAACTGGATGTCACATTTCAAAGAGGTAATATTTCCCATTTGCAGCTTACATATTGACATTAAAGTGTATTCATTTACACTGAGAATTGATATACATGTGTGTTTTCTTCTGATAATAAGTTCCGGCCAAAGGTACTGCCCTCAATACTTATTGTCTCAGACCTACAAATCTGAAATCTTGACCCTGAGATGAAGGCTAAAGATTTAATTGGCTCATTCTATTTAAATTTATGTACAGTTAATTTAAGCCTGAATACTAATTACAAGAAACCCAGATATTATTAGGGCTACTTTGCATTTCTGAAGCTTCAAATTCTAGAAGATTACTATAACTTGTAGTAATAATCCATCATAAGTAAAAAAAAAAAAAAAATGAAAAGACATTGGAAAGACCTCCTTTCGGATCCTTACTGATTGTATACCATTTGATTTTATGTCATTTCACTGCTCCCTATCTTAAATTATTAGAGAGAATTCTATTACTTGGATTAACTACCCATTTCCTGGTCACCATCACTTTTTATTTTTTTATTTTTTTTTAAACTTCAGTGTTTTATTTATTTATTTAAAAAAATTTTTTTAAAGATTTTATCCATTTATTTGACAGAGAGAGAGACAGCGAGAGCAGGAACACAAGCAGGGGGAGGGGGAGAGGGAGAAGCAGGGTTCCCGCTGAGCAGGGAGCCCAATGCGGGGCTCGATCGATCCCAGGACCCAGGGATCATGACCTCAGCCGAAAGCAGATGATTAACGACTGAGCCACCCAGGCGCCCTCACCATCACTTTTTAATCATCAGCATAGCTGTTTTCTCTCTTGTGAGGGAATATTTCTCACAAAGGAGCATGCTCCTTGGCTGTTGGATTTGTTAGAATGGAACACACAGCTAGAGATACAGTTTGCTGAGCAGGTACAGGGTCCCACACGATCACAATTCAGCCTCATGTTTTGAATGATTCAAATGTAACTCAGTAAAACTACAAGATGCTACATGTTGTGGTCCTTGGTGTGGTATGGTTTGCATATAGTTAAAATCCTGGTTAAATGTCAAGGATTAAAGAAATGTAACTGCTCTCTGAACTAGATTAAAAATTGGTCAGTATAATTTCTCCTTGATTGGAAAATTTAAGAAAGCCAAATAAGAATCAGAAAATTGTTTAAATTAGCTATTCTAAAGGATGTTTAGATCTGAAAATTGTTTGATTTTACTTTCCAGGTGAGTATCATTAAGCTGTGTTGGTTTGCAGAAACATTTTTTTCATTCTTGTGATTAACAGGGTTATACTTGCCAAAGCTATTATATTTGTGTCACTTATGGATTTGTGAAGGTTAAAAACATTTCATAAGTGAAGTTTTTTGTTTGTTTGTTTTGGGGGGGTTTGGTTTTGGTTTGTTTAATTTTTTCCCTTGTAGAGCAAAGCCAAAGCTTCACAAAGGTTAAAAGATCCTTTGAGGAAAAAATGTTTTAATTTTTTTTTCAGGTTTTATACTTTCCTTTCTTTCTTTAAGTTTTTATTTAATATACCTTTTTTCATAAAGTCATAAAACTTTTGGGTGCCTGGGTGGCTCAGTTGGTTGAGCGACTGCCTTCGGCTCAGGTCATGATCCTGGAGTCCCGGGATCGAGTCCCGCATTGGGCTCCCTGCTCGGCGGGGAGTCTGCCTCTCCCTCTGACCTTCTTCCCTCTCATGTTCTCTCTCTACCATTCTCTCTCTCTCTCAATAAATAAATAAAAAATCTTTAAAAAAATAAAGTCATAAAACTTTTGAATATGCAGTGACCTTTGAGACCATATAATTCTGTCTCTTTCTGTTTTAGATAAGGAAACTGAGGCTTAAAGATGTAGATTAACTTAAGGTCATACAACAAATAAATCACAGATCTAGGACTTGAAACTAGGTCTCTTTCTAACCAGCCCAGTGTTCAGCTGCACCATGCTGCCTCTCCATCTGAAGAGTCTCTCACTCTTTTCTTTGATTAAGTAGGCTCCTTGCCCAACATGGGGCTTGAACTCATGATCCTGAGATCAAGAGTCACATGCTTTACTGACTGAGCCAACCAGGTCCCCCTAGATTCTCTTCAAACGCCTTATTAATAGCACTGCCATGTCTCACTTTTTAGACACCTATAAAAAGAATTAATTTTTGTTCATATTGCATTCAGTTTATCACAATTAACTTAAGACTCTGCCTCAAATGTGAAGTTTACTACATTTGAAATAGGCTAATATATAATACTGTAAAAACTTGATTCAGATTAGGCAGATAGTTGTTCCTTTTTTTTTTGATCCTATTCCCCTGCTCAGAACTGTTGCTTACTTTTCTTTAAATACTGGAGAGAGAGAGACTGCTAGCTCTCAGAGGAATACAAATTTTAGGCCTCTGGCTTTCTTTGTGGTTCACAATTTTACTGAAGAAGTAATTTTTTTTTAAGGTGCTGTGATGTGCCACAGGCTACATTAAAAAATAAATACAAAGAAAGAATATAAAAATGTGTTACCCAAAGGGTTTGTTATTATCTATCCTGCTTACTTGAAAATAGCCTTTTTTTTAATGAAAGATATATAATTTGGATAATCTAGAGTTGATCAGAATGGTCAGTTTTCAAGTTCTAGCATGTTTATAGAGGCCACTTCACTCATTCCATCGCCCAGCACATCTTAAGGCATATTCCTTGCCTATCACTCTTGTTTTCCTCTCTCTTTTTGTAGTATTTCCCAGTGGTTATCTTCTGCCCAGAACAATACTGGCAACAAATTTCTTTCCCCAACTCATTTTCTACATTCTATGCTGGCTGAGGCATTAATGTAAATATCTTCACATTACTTTAGCATGCGTTTTTTTCTTTGTTATTAACATAACTTTAATTTCCTTGTTTCTCCGACTATTAGATGTAATATTATTCTTATTGTATAACATTCCAAAGTTAGTGTTATCTGTTTGACTTTTTTCTACGTTGATCCTTTTTTTTCTTCAAAGTTTATTTATTTATTTATTTATTTGAGAGAGAGAGAGAGAGAACTAGAGAGATAACAGAGGGAGAGGGATAAGCAGACTCTCTGCTGAGCAGCCCAAGGCGGGGCTCGATCCCAGGACCCGGAGATCATGACCTGAGCCGAAGGTAGCCGCTTAACTGACTGAGCCACCCAGGCACCCGCTAAGTTAATCCTTGCAAACATCTTACCTGGATGTGGATAGCTATTGCCCATGGCAATTCTTTTGACTGCGAAATTAATTTCTCCACACTTAACAAGCTAACAAAATTTTTACTTAACTAAAATAGCAGCACTGTTTAAATGGAGTGTAGTGATAGAGGTGTTCTGTATTTGCAGTGTCAGTTATAATAGCCAATAACCACATGTGACTGTTGAGCACTTAAAATGTGGCTAGTCCATCTCAGGGACTGAATTTTTAGTTTTATTTAATTTTAATTTAAATAGCCCTGTGTGGCTAGTGGCTACCATCTTAAACAGTGCAGGACTAGACCATCATGTTCAGACTTTTTAGATTGTTAACAGAAACGAGTTTACACTAGCTTAAGGGAAAAAAGAAACAACAGATTTAGTTTATCATTAACTGTCTATAATAATGGTGGATCTGATGTTAAACATTATTGAATCCAAGGGCATAAAGGGGACTCTTTTTGAGTCATTCTGTGGTTCTGCTTCTCTTGGATCTTACCTTCTTCCAATGTAAATAGAGTTTGTCCTTGTGGTAGGGAACATGATCACTAACAACTCATTTATATCCTGCCCACACATTGACCCAAGGGTAAAAAAGCAATCTTCCTTTGAGCTTCAAGGGAAAGTTCTAGAGAAAGACACTGATTGGCCCAGCATGGGTCATGTGTCCATCCTTGAGATAGTCACTGTGGACAAAAAAATAGGCTATTGTAATAGATTAGACCTAGGTCATATGCATGCCCATGAGAATAAAGGGGGCGTAGGTCCTGTTTTTGAGAGCCCAATCAGAACAGTGTGGCATAAGGGAGATGCAGTTTTCCAAGGGAAGAAAGGGTGCTGGGTAGGTAAAACAAGCTAAATTTTTGTATGTTAACATAATTTTTACAGTTCAATTAGGTAGTGTATAGTAAGTCAAAACTCAATTATAAGTACTAGAAATCCATGTCAGGATAGTTTAAAAGAAATTTTTTTTAAGAATTTGGTTCTTAAAAAAAAATTTGGTTCTCCTAACTAAAAAGCCTAGAGGTTCTATGCCTTCAGACGTGACTAATTTCAGTTGCTTAACTAATAATTAGTCTCTATCTCTGTTTCTTGGTCTGGTTTCATCTATGTTAGCTTTGTTTTCAGGCACACCTTCTACACATAAAGATGGACTCTGCCAACATCAAAAATACATGATGCATTCAGCTGAGGATTTCAGGAGACCTCTCCTCATGTTATAGTGTTATGCTTAAGGTACATGTGCTCTCTTTGTGGCCAGGGAGACAGAGCCAAATGATTGAGAGTCTGGTCAAAATGATCCAGAGCCCCATCATTACAAGGAGTAGTAAAAAGGCAATAGGAATAGAATACATAACAGACAAAACAGTAACACATTTTTCCTTTTTTTTTTTTTTCATTTATATGCTGCCTTTTCTTTTTCCTTTTTTTTTTTTTTAAAGATTTTATTTATTTATTTGACAGAGAGAGACACAGCGAGAGAGGGGACACAAGCAGGGGGGAGGGGTGCCTGGGTGGCTCAGTCATTAAGCGTCTGCCTTCAGCCCAGGTCATGATCCCAGGGTGCTGGGATCGAGTCCTGCATCGGGCTCCCTGCTCGGCAGGAAGCCTGCTTCTCCCTCTCCCACTCCCCCTGCTTGTGTTCCCTCTCTCGCTGTCTCTCTGTCTCTGTCAAATAAATAAAATCTTAAAAAAAAAAACAAAAAAACAAGCAGGGGGTAGTTTTTTTGTGACTCAGCTTTCGTTGAGTAGCTGCACTGATACAATTCTTTAACACGTTCCTGAATTAGCATTTATTTCCCTTGCCTGAACATATATATATTCTCAATCTCTGAAAATTTCAGTGGTGATATCATAGTAAAACTTTCCAAACAACCTCCGTATCCACTGGTAGAGTATAGGGGATTTTTTTTTTCCTTCTACCCTCTAGGTTCTCAGCAAGGATTTATAACAAAAGAGAGATTAACAAGAGAAAAACAAAGAAATTTATTAATATGTGTATCATGGGAGAAACTCAGGGTTGAGTAACTTAAAGGCTGGCTAGAACTTGAGTTTATATAGCATCTTAACAAAAAAATCCAATACATTTTCAGAGAATTGACAAGACAAATAAAAAGGATTTTGAGTTTCTAGGGTAGCTAATCATGGGAAGGTAAATATATGGGTGAATAATGGGAGATAAAGGCTAGTCAATAGTTTGTTATGCAGAATTCTGTGGTGCTGATAAGGGTCTAAAGTTGTTGGTGATTTATGTTTTGTACAAATTTAAGTCTTGTTCCTAGGCAAATGGGAAAGAACAGAGTGCTTTTTTTTATCTGCTTCATTTCAGTTGCCTTCGGTTAAAAATAATCCTTATGGGCGCCTGGGTGGCTCAGTTGGCTAAGTGACTGCCTTCGGCTCAGGTCATGATCCTGGAGTCCTGGGATCAAGTCCCGCATCGGGTTCCCTGCTCAGCAAAGGAGCCTGCTTCTCCCTCTGACCCTCCCCCCTCTCATGTACTCTCTCTCTCTCATTCTCTCTCTCTCAAATAAATAAATAAATCTTTAAAAAAAAAATCCTTATGCCAAAGTGGCATATTTTGGAATGGTAAGCTCTTACCTTTCTGGGGGAATGGTTAAATTAAAATAATTAAATTGTTGCATAGCTACTCAATGGAGCATTTTAAAACCATTTAAAATAATAATTATAGAATAAGATTGGTGGATTATAATAATATCAATGTCATGGTTATGATATTGTACTGTAGTTTTAAAAGAGGTTATCGGGGAATCTGGGTAAAAGGTGCATAAATCTCTGTATATTTTTCTTATAACTCCAAATGAATCTATAGTTATCTCAAAAAGTTTAATGAAAATATTTTTAAATCATAATTCAAAATTCTAAGTGTATTAATATATAATATTTATTTTTTACTTATGTAAAAAGATCAGGTTAAGATCTATAGGTACACTATATTATAACTATTAAATTATGCATAGGAAAAAAAGACTAGAGAAAGTATACTAAATGGTCACAATGGTTATATCTAAATTGTTGGATTTTAGATGATTGTCCTTTTCTTTACTTTTCATCATTTTGTAAATGTCCTCTATGAATACATACTATTGTGAAAACAATACTTTATCTTTTTTTCTCCCAATCCTCAAAAAAGTGAAAGTCATCTTTTAAAAATACCTTTAAAAATCTTGCTTTCTCAGCATGCCAATGTGAAGGAAAAGATAACCGAATTCCATTACTAAAGGAAGTTTTTGAGGCTTTTCCTAACACTCCCATTAACATCGATATCAAGGTCAACAACAATGTGCTGATAAAGAAGGTACGTGAGCCAATCCCTCTTCTGGGTATGTTGTATCGGATTTCACAAACTGAATAAGGCTACAGTAGGTGACTTCATAGATTGATAATATTCAAGGAAATATGACACTCTAGGGATCAGTATTGTTTTAAATAATGCCCTGGTAGAAGAGATCACTTTACTGTAGGAAGGCCTATTTCCAGAGCAAGCTGTCATGGATAAAAGTGAGCTCCTGTGAACCAATTGTTCTGGCATCGATATAATTAACTTCTTCAAATTTACTTGCTTCTTTTGTAGTTAGTTTATATCAAATGACTAAATAGTTGCCTTCTATTAGATAAATCATAGAATGGTAAAATGTAAGTAATTGCTTATATTTTATAAAATAATCTGAATTTACATATTGGTTCTTCCCAGAGTTTATATTACTCACTGGCAGAAAGTCAATTGTAATCAATTTTTTTAAAGATTATTTATTTATTTATTGGGGTGGGGGTAACGTGTAGGGGAGGGGCAGAGAGAGAAGCAGGCTCCCCCCCCGAGCAAGGAGCCCAATACGGAACTCAATTCCAAGACCCTGGGATCATGACCTGAGCTGAAGGCAGACGCTTAACTGACTGAGCCACCCAGGTGCCCCAATTGTAATCCATTTTTTAAGTGAAGTAATGTGAGCGGATTTACCAGTAGGCGCATGCATGAACTTTTGCATTTTCACACGTAGGTTTCAGAGCTGGTAAAGCAGTACAGACGAGAACACATAACGGTGTGGGGTAACGCCAGTTATGAAATTGTAGAAAAGTGCTACAGAGAGGTAAGCTTCAAACATGATACGGAATGATCTTTCTTGCTGTTGTTGTGTATCTATAAATGTTATCACACTAATAATTTTTAAAAGTATCTTATTTCAAAGCCTTGATACAAAGACAGATAGTACTGGGTGGAAGCCCCTAACCAGAAGTTTACTAAGAGGTAATGGATTTAATAGAAATAATGTACGTGGGCTGGCTCACAGAATTCTTATTTTCATATGCTAATAATATTAATTGTTTGCCAACATTTTATTATGTACATTATGAAACAAGATATGATTCCTGTCTTATAATGTCTGTTTTTTGTTAGGTTATTGAAATTTTTGTGTAATTTTAAATTGAGGAAAGGATTTTAGTCCTTCAACTCTATAGCTCAAGCTTCTCTGTTCCCTACCTCCCAAACAGAATTAATCAAATTAAGCCAAGATCATAGTTACCAGGTGGTATATAAAAGTAGGGGCATCTACCCACCGAAATTTTTCTGTTTGAAGAAAATATATCTATAAAAAGTTAATTGGATATATTTAGACATGGTATGCTAAGCCTCTATAAGCAAGTTTAGCTATATACTATAGCTATTATAATTTATATACTTATATACTATAGCAAGTATAACTAGGAGAATATGAAATTCAAAATGCTAAAAAAAAAACCTTAAGCATTAAAGACTCTCTCTCAGAATACAAGTGATAGTGCAGAAGAAAATACTGTGACACAAATAGCAATTCAAAATACAAAGATTTCTTTTGGGAAGGCCTTTCTTCCTAGCAAAGAAGGCAAAAACATAGATCCAGAATTGGCACCATTATAATTAAAAGTACCATTGAAGCCTTCATTAAGGCAAGTAAGTTTTATTTATGTGCCACAGGCTCTCTGAGATTCCAAGGTAGCTTGTGTACACAAGGAGAAGACAGTGATCATTGGGATAAATGGCTTCAGATGCTAAGAATTTAGTGCTAAGACTTTTCCATAACTAATCATTGTCTAAGGGTATTTTCACATGTCATTAAAAGTGACTGTACGGGAGGCCTCATGGCCTGCTGGTTGTTTTACATTATTCAAATGTTTTTTAAAAAATAAAAAATAGTGATAACAGCAAAATGCTGGAGAAGATGAGGAGAAGCTGGATCTCTCCAGCTTGCTGGTGGAAAAGTAAAATAGTACAGCCACTTTCTTCATTTGTTGGGTAGATTTCTTACCAAGCTAAACATACACTTACCATATTAACCAGTAGTCTCACTCTTGGGCATTTATCTCAGAAAAATGAAAACTTGTGCACATAAAAACCTGTATATGAATGTTTATAGCAGCTTTATTTATTATAGCAAAATATTGGAAACTCCCACCAGAATGCCCTTCAGTGGGTAGATCTCTGAACAAACTGATATAACCACATGATGTAATACTATTCAGCCATGAAAGGAAATGAACTCCTGACACCTGTAACAACCTGAACTGTCCTAATCCTCAAAGACATTTTGCTTAGTGAAAAAATTTAACCTCAAAAGATTACATACTGGAATCTCTATATTGTACACCTGAAACTAATATAACAGTATATGTTAACTGGAATTTAAAAAAAAAATTTTTAAATAAACCAAAAACAAAACAAAAAGATTACATACTGTATGATTCCATTTATGTAACGTTCTCAAAACTGTACACGTGAAGAACAGATAAGTGGCTGCCAGGGGAGAGAGACTGGGGGTGGGGTAGAGAGTGGGGGCAAATACAACAAAGAGGTAGGGGGAGGGAGTTCTTGACTGTGATGGAACTATTCTGTATCTTGACTTGTGGTGGTGGTTACATGAATTGATACAGTGCTAAAACTGCACTAAACCTGGGCGCCTGGGTGACTCATTTGGTTAAGCATTTGCCATTGGCTCAGGTCATGATCTCAGGGTCCTGGGATTGATCCCCATATTGGGCTCCCTGCTCAGCAGGAAGTCTGCTTCTCCCTTTGCCTCTCCCTCTGTGCTCCCTCTCTTACTCTCTTTCAAATAAGTAAATAAAATCTTAAAAAAAAAAACTGCACTAAACCAAACGCACAAATGAATGCAGATTTTTTTTTTTTTGAATGCAGATTTTAAAAGTGGTGAAAACTGAGTAAGATCTATAGTCTAATTAGCAGTGATATGCCAGGCCGGTAAGGCGTTAAAAAGAAAGGAGGGGAGAGGAGAGGAGAGGGGAGGGGAGGGGAGAAGTGGGGAGGGGAGAGGAGAAAGGAAAGGAAAGGGAAGGAAGAAGGAAGAAGGAAGGAATAAAAGAAAGAGAGAAAGAAAGAAAGAGAAAAGAAAACAAAAACCCCAGTGATCTACCAGTGTCAAGTCCTGATTTTGATATTGTACTAGAGTTAGATCAAATGTTACCATTTGGGAAAACTAGGTTAAGGGTTCATGGGACTGTGTTTTTACAACTTTTTGTGAGTCTGTTGTTTCAAAATAAGAAGTCCACTTCTGACTCAGAATCACAGAACTTTTCCCTTGATTCACATACTTTTCTCGAAGCCTCTGGCTTTCTGTCATTTTAGAATTTAAAAACTCCAAAACCTGCAGCAGTAATTTTCAAACATCATAGTAAAAATGTCTCAGTCATATCTGTTATTCATATTATGAACATGCCATATAATTGTTATCGATTTATAAGAATTTTACATTAGCCCTTTAATTCCCAAATGCTAGAAACTAAAAATATAAAAATAACTTGGCTAATTGAATTTAAATTAAAAAAACAAAAAAAAGAAAGAAAAATGGGGCACACAGTGGGGAGGGGAAAACATGTGGCCCTTAGGCTCACATAATGACTTTTAATTCATTCTTACTTAATGCAGTGGTTCTTAAGCCTAGCTGTATGTTGGAATCACCTGGAAAGTCTTAAAAAAAAAGCAAAACAAAACTAATGCCTGGGTCCCATTCCATAAATTCTATTTATGTTATTCAAGTATATTTGAAACATGATGTGATACTAGTGACTCCACAAATCTATACATTAGGCTGTGCTCACCAAAAGTGTAGCAACCAGCTGTTAACCATACAACACTATTATAATACCATTGACTGTGTTCCCTATGCTGTGCCTTTTACCCCCATGACCTAGTCATTCCCTGACTGGAAGCCTGTATCTCTCACTCCCCTTCACCCATTCCTCCACTCCCCTCCCCTCTAGCAACCATCAGTTTGTTCTCTGTATTTATGGGTCTGTTTCTGCTTTCTGTTTGTTTATCATTTTGTTTTTTTAGATTCCACATATAAGGGAAATGATATGGTATTTGTCTTTCTCTGTCTGACTTATTTCATTAGCATAATACCCTCAGTCCATCCATGTTGTACGTGGCAAGATTTTCAGATGTTCTAATTTAGAAGATACCCAGTGGCACCAGCTGTTGCGTCAGTGGTGGGCCAGCATACCAAACCCCACCCTCTCCCACCCCAGGCAGCCTGGCATGGCTTTCCAGAAGTACCAGTTACTGTTTTTAGTTCTCTGGGTCCAAAGTTATGTAAGTTTTGAGGGTCGGCCCGAACCCTGTTTTTCCCATTAGCTCTGTTACTCTTAGTGCATGAATTTGCAGAAATCAAGTTTTTCAGGGACTTGTACATTGTGTTACAGCTGAAACACCTGAATATAAATAAGCCTAAAATGTTACAAAGCGTCATGTGAACATAGGGGCAAAAGAAATCCTCAAACTTATTTACTCTATTTTTTTTTAAATAAAGAAGTGGGTAATTTAGAGGTAATATTTAAAATAAATTACTTTTCTGTGTAACTTCTTCAATATATTACTTTTGTATAGAAAAAAATCAGCTTTAGGACACCTGGGTGGCTCAAGCCGTTGAGCGTCTGCCTTCAGCTCAGGTCATGATCCCAGGGTCCTGGGATCGAGTCCTGCATTGGGCTCCCTGCTCAGTGGGGAGTCTGCTTCTCCCTCTGTCCTCCTTCCTGCCCGTGATCTCTCTTGCTCTCGTGGTCTTCCTCTCAAATAAATAAATAAAATCTTTAAAATAAAAAAAGGAAAAAAATCAACTGTACCATAATTTGTTTGTTTTAAATACAAATATAGGAGGGGTTAGGGAGATGGGGATATGAGGGGCCATTTGCTGAGCATAGAATTTCAGTTTTACAAGATGAAAAGAGTTCATATATATATATATGAAGCTTGCATTCTAAGCATTTTGGGATCTTGAACACATTTTGCAATAGAAATCTAAAATGGTGGCTAGATTCTTCGACTAGCTTACAAAATCCTATTTATATTTGATGCATAATGTAGTTGAAAGATGACATATTTGCAACAGTGTTTATATTTTATCTATACATATCAATATCATATCCTGCTTAACTAATACATAACTAGATCTGTAGATTGGAACACCTATATATCTGTATATGGATATATATGAATATATATCGATCTTTAGTTATATATTTTTTAAATAGGAGTAAGGTTGCTGAATATTTCATTTCTTCATTTCTTTGCCTTATTCCATTAGGTTCAGTATTTTTAATCTCTAGTGATAAGCACTATCACCAACAGACAGAAGTGGTGTTGCAACCAGAGAATAGGGAATAGAGATACTTAAGTAAGTATCATCAATTAACAGTATAGGGCTCGACAATAAATCCTGACCCATTTGGCAAGGACTAGCCATTTTTAAATGGCTGGTGGTGGGTTTGGAGATGGATATTGATAATTCAGGGAGTACTTTTAACGAATGTCCAGATACAGTCTTGGAAATTTTGAGGATGTGAAATAATCCTCTTCATTTGAGCAGTTGTAAAGTAACATAATATTGCTTGTGTCTTTTAGAATTCAGATATTCCTATACTCTTCAGTCTACAACGTGTTCTGCTCATTCTTGGCCTTTTCTTCACTGGCCTCTTGCCCTTTGTGCCCATTCGAGAACAGTTTTTTGAAATCCCAATGCCTTCTATCATACTGAAGTAAGTGACTCTGTTTTTATCAGTTATCATTATAGAGGGACTAAGATCAAGGCTCATTAATATCAATATAAATGATAAAAAATAGATTGCTTATAGGGACGCCTGGCTGGCTCAGTCGGTAGAGTGTGTGACTCTTGATCTCGGGGTTTTAAGTTTGAGCCCCACATTGGGGGTTTAAAAATAAAATCTTAAAAAAAAAAAAGATTGCTGTAGTTATTTACATGTTGGATTAACTGACCTGTATTAATAATACTTTTTGATATCATTAAGATACATTTTTCTAAAATGAGTAACATAGGATTATAAGTATTTCATCTGGACCCATTTCAGGTAACAATGACTTTCTATGCCTGTGTACTCAGAATTCGGGTACAAAGAATTGAGCTTAACTGTTGAAGCTTAATAATTCTTTTATTCTAACATGTAATAGCAATTGCCCTCCAACTTCCCTAACTTATTTATACCTCAATCGCAATATGCAGCTGAAATTCCATTAAACTCCAAATTCTCAGGGCACCTGGCTGGCCCGGTCAGAAGAGCATGCGACTCAGTCTCAGGGTTGTGAGTTCAAGCCCCATGTTGGGCCTAGAAATTACTTTTAAAAAAATTTAAATTAAATGTGATCTCACCTGCATGGAAACTTTTTTCATCCCCAAACAGAACTTTAAAAGATCAAACTGAACATTAGTGCAGCAGTCATTAGGAAATATTGGTAAGAAAAACAATTTGGTCGGTACCCTTGTATTCAGCATTTATGTTTCATGCTTGTTTTCCAATTTGTTTCTTCATGATGAGCATGTTTATTTTATCTATTCCCAATTATATTTATGGGCAGTTTTTGTAGTTATTTCTCAGACAGGATGGAAATCACGTCTTGCCTACAAAAAAACCATTTTCATTTGCTGGATTAAAATGATTCCTGACCATTTACTCCTGAAATACTTAAGCTTCCTCTGGCTTGGCATGGACTGTTGTCCTTTCTGGATTATCTCCATGTGCTCTTTTAGAAGCAGGTATTACTGAAATACAGACAGATGAACAAACTTCATAGAATTAATCTTTTCTCTAAAAAGTAATTGTGGATTAAGACAAGCTAGAATATTGTGTGTGTTTTAATTTTTTTTTTTTTTATGGTTGACAGTGGGTACTTCCTAAGACAACATAATCATTTGTTTAATGAGATAATTAGTGTTTGAGATACTAAGTCCCTGAGATTACAGAAGTTGCAAGCCGTACTTCCCACCTGGGCTACAGCTAAGGAAAAGAGGATTTTATTTAGAGAGCTTCTAATAAAAACTGAATTCAGAGAGAAAGGAAAAAAAAGGAATTTAAGTGTGGAGACTCAGAATTATTCCAAGAGTATAGACAGGATGAATTAGAAAGGAAACAAGAAGTAAGGCTCCAGGGGCAATGGAAATCACTGCGTGCTGTTAAACTTAGAAGCTGAGAAGTGTTCATAGTAGAGAGAGGCTAACCAGAGATTTGCTCTGTGTACAACCCAAAGTTAATGACACAGGTAATTGTGCTGCTCCAGGCATCTGAGGAAATTGAAGAAACTCAGCATAGGTCCTAAGGTCAAGTATAGAAAAGATAATTAAAAAGAACAGGGCCTAGGCTCCATATTTGCAAATCCAACAACGTGCTACATCATCACATTAATAAAAGAAAGGATAAGAACCATATGATCATCTCAATAGATGCAAAAAAGCATAGGGAAAAGACAAAGTACAACATCCATACATAATAAAAACCCTCAACATAATAAAGGCCATCGAGAAAAACCCACAGCTAATATCATCCTCAATGGGGAAAAACAGAGCTTTTCCTCTATAGTCAGGAATAAGACAGGGATGTCCACTCTCACCAGTTTTATTCAACACGGTACTGGAAGTCCTAGCCACAGCAGTCAGACAACAAAAGGAAATAAAAGGCATCCAGACAGGCAAGGAAGAAGTAAAAGTTTCACTATTTGCAGATGACATGATACTATATATAGAAAACCCAAAAGACTCCACCAAAAAACTGCTAGAACTGATACATGAATTCAGCAGTCACAGGATACAAAATCAGTGTGCAGAAATCTGTTGCATTTCTATAAACCAATAAGGAAGCAGAAAGAGAAATTAAGGAATCACTCTCATTTACAATTGTCCCAAAAACCGTAAGATACCTAGGAATAAATCTAACCAAAGAGGTGAAAGACCTGTACTCTGAAAAGAAAATGAAGATGACACAAAGAAATGGAAAGACATTCTATGCTCATGGATTGAAAGAACAGATATTGGTAAAATGTCTATACTCCTCAAAGCAATCTACACATTTAATGCAATCCCTATCAAAATACCAACAGCATTTTTCACAGAGCTAGAATAAACAATCCTAAAATTTATATGGAACCACAAAAGACCCAAAATAGCCAAAGCAACCTTGGAAAAAGAAAAACACAGCTGGAGGCATCACAATTCTGGACTTCAAGTTATAATACAAAGCTGTAGTAATCAAAACAGTATGATACGAGCACAAAAATAGACACACAGATGAATGGAACGGAATAGAAAATCCAGAAATGAACCCACAATTATATGGTCAATTAATCTTTGACCAAGCAGGAAAAAATAGCCAATGGGGGAAAAAAAAGCCAATGTCTCTTCAACAAATGGCATTGGGAAAACTGGACAGCAACATGCCAAAGGATGAAATTGGACCACTTTTTTACACCATACACAAAGAATAAATTCAAAATGGATTACAGACCTAAATGTGAGAACTGAAACCATAAAAATCGTAGAAGAGAACATAAGCAGTAACTTCTTTGACATCAGTCATAGCAACTTCTTTCCAGGTATGTCTCCTGAAGCAAGGAAAACAAAATCAAAAACTATTGAGACTACATCAAAATAAAAGGAATCAATCAGCAAAACTAAAAGGAAACCACGGAATGAGAGAAGATATTTGCAAAAGGCCAGATCTGTTAAAGAGTTAGTATCCAAATATATAAAGAACTTATAAAACTCAGTACCCCAAAAATGAATAATCTAAGAATGGGCAGAAGACATGAATAGACATTTTTCCAAAGAAGATATACAGATGGCCAGCACACATAAAAAGATGCTCAACATCATTCCTCCTCAGGGAAATGCAAATCAAAAGTATGATGAGATATTACCTCATGCCTGTCAGAATGGCTAAAATAAAAAGCTCAAGAAACAACAGGTGTTGGCGAGGATGTGGAGAAATGGGTGAATCCTCATGCACTGTTGATGGGAATGCAAACTGGTGCAGCCACTGCAGAAAACAGTAATGAGCTTCCTCAAAAAGGTAAAAATAGAACCATCCTACAATCCAGCAATCATACTACTAGGTATTTACCCAAAGAATACAAAAATACTAATTCAAAGGGATATAGGCACCTGGATGTTTATAACAGATTATTTACAATAGCCAAGTTATGGAAAACAGCCTAAGTGTGCATCAATAGATGAATGGATAAAGAAGTGTGTGTGTGTATGGTATGTTTGTATATATTTATATATATAAACACAATGGAATATTACTGAGCCATAAAAACAAATGAAATCTTGCGTTTTGCAATGACATGGATGGAGCTAGAGAGTATAATGTTAAAATAAGTCAGTCAAAACAAGACAAATACCATATGATTTCACTCATATGTGGAATTTAAGAAACAAAACAAATGAGCAAAAGGAAAAGCGAGAGAGGAAAAACAAGAAACAGACTCTTAACTACTGAGAACAAACTGATGGTTACCAGAGGGGAGGTGGGTGGGGGATGGGTGAGACAGGTGATGGGGATTAAGGAGTGCACCTGTTGTGATGATCACCGGGTGATGTATGGAGTTGTTGAATCACTATATCGTACACCTGGAACTAATATTACACTGTATGTTAACTAACTGGAATTTAAATAAAAACTGGGAAAAAAAGAACAGGGCCCAGGTCTTCAAATATTGAAAGGGGAAGAAAAAACATGCTTTTAGGGTTTTTTTAGTCACATTTTTGCCCCATATCTTTTAATTTGTAGTAAAGTTTGGTTGTATGTTTAAGTTCACTATATACTAGTGCTCACTTCAGCAGCACATATACTAAATCTACTATATACTAAGTTATAGCAGACAAAGTGAGAGAAAGAAGCTTCACCAAAAAAAAGAAGAGACATGAGCCCCAGGCACCCTGGGTCTGGAAAGATAACTTTCATTATTTTTTTTACCTTTTAGTAGTGGTAGCAAAAAGTCATCTCAAAATCAATAGAAACAGAGAACCTGGGGCACCTGGGTGGCTCAGTCGGTTAAGTGTCTGTAAGCATCTGTCTTCGGCTCAGGTCATGATCCCAGGGTCCTGGGATCGAGCCCTGCATCGGGCTCCCTGCTCAGCGGGAAGCTGCTTCTCCCTCTCCCACTCCCCCTGCTTGTGTTCCTGCTCTCGTTATCTCTCTGTCAAACAAATAAATAAAATCTTAAAAAAAAACCCAAAACAAAACAAAAAACCAGAGAACCCAAATTGGCTTTTTTTACAAGTATTTTTTGAGCACATACTAAGTGCAAGGCAACTTTGTTTTTGGACTCATTTTATCACACTGATACCTTCCTGTGTTTCTAATTTATGATTCAAATTTTTATTTTGCCTCAGGCTAAAAGAACCACACACTATGTCCAGAAGTCAAAAGTTTCTCATCTGGCTTTCTGATACGTAAGAATTTTAGTTTCTTGATATACCAGTTACTGTTTCAACTGAATCTATTAAATACTATGTTTATAATTTAGAGCAAGCTTTCTATATGTGATTTGTAACAAGGATGATAAGCACGTACTCCGTGGGTGGATGTATGTGAATCATTTAGAACTACTTTAATTACTAGTCACAAAACCTTAAGAGGAATCTTGAGAGATAATCTCATCCAGCTTCAGGAGAAAACTGAGTGCCCTCCTAACCAAAGGTAAATGATTAACTTAGGGTTATCTAGCTAGTTAGAAGAGGTGGTGGTATGTATAACCATTCCCTTCTACCTATTTGCTGTTTTCACTAACCTGCAGTCAGAAACATGGCAGAAAGAAGTGTGTATAGCGGGATGCCTGGGTGGCTCAGTCGTTAAGCGTCTGCCTTCGGCTCAGGTCATGATCCCGGGTTCCTGGGATCGAGCCCCACATCAGGCTCCCTGCTTGGCGGGAAGCCTGCTTCTTCCTCTCCCACTCCCCCTGCTTGTGTTCCCTCTCTCACTGTCTCTCTCTCTCTCTGTCAAATAATAAAATAAAATCTTAAAAAAAAAAAAAAAGAAGTGTGTATAGCAATACAATGATATGTAAAAGTGTATATTGACTAGTGGCACATTTCTCCGAAAATCTGCATGAAGACTTAATAGCAGACAGGAAGCCCCACCTTTAGGGTGGGCATCTCCTTTAAAGAAAATACTTTCATTTCTCAGACATGTTGAGTTTAATTTGAGGTAAATAACACAATGTTGCTGTGCTATATTTTGCTTTAAAATGGAACCTGGAATGCTTAAATAATAGTCCTAAATCGCAACCTTTTAAATTACTTACCTCCTCTTTCAGAGAGTTGGAAAACTAGTTTTTTTTTATCTTTTCTCTGTGCCACAGGGTTTATTCTTTTTTCCTCTATTCCTGATTTAATTTCTAGTTTTCAAGGATACATTTTTAATTGGTGTTAAATGCATATGATTTTTAGTTTCTCTCATTTCATTACTTCAATAGACATAAACAGAATAGAAACAATATGTATAACTTTCCAGTATAGTTCGTTCCCATCATGCTCAAGTAATTTATATTCTAAGAGTTCACTTTTAAGTCAGTTATTTAGCACTTAAAAAAAAGCTGCAGTTTTCCTATTTATAGTGTAATCAATGGACATTAGGTTTCTAAGATAGCACATGAAAGACTAATCCATTATGTAAATGAACTATGATATTCTAGAATTTGGCCCAAGTTCACTGCCTTATTTTAAGTTGGAATGTTAGACTTCCCAGCTCTTTCTCACTTGTTATGGTGTCGACAGGGAAATCGAGGAGGCCTCTTGTCTACTGAGTGGCTTCAATAAGATTGGGTCTCTTGATGATGTAGTTAGAAGAAATAGAAAGGAGGTTCTGGTGGACAGCCAGCCAGCAGTGAAAGGAGATCCAGCGGTTAGAACATAAATGCATCCACCACAGTTATTACTTCAGGCCATTGCTTTATTGCTGCTACAGCATTGGGATTAAATTCAGTTAGGAGGGCGCCTGGGTGGCTCAGTTGGTTAAGCGACTGTCTTCAGCTCAGGTCATGATCCTGGAGTCCCGGGATCGAGTCCCGCATCGGGCTCCCTGCTCGGCGGGGAGTCTGCTTCTCCCTCTGACCCTCCCTCGTCTCATGTGCTCTCTCTCTCTCTCTCATTCTCTCTCTCTTTCAAATAAATAAATAAATCTTTAAAAAAAAATTCAGATAGGAATTATAACCTCTAAATGGACTAAATTAGGACTAAGGACTAAGAGTCCTTCGTTAGAGTTAAGAGATATCTAAATCTGTCCTGCTTTTCTTTTCCAGCTTACTAATGAGAAAAGCCTTGTTTGACCACCTCACTGCCAGAGGCATTCAGGTAAGTTTCCAGAATGATGCATTTAAGATTTTATTTATTTATTTGAAAGACAGAGACAGCGAGAGAGGGAACACAAGCAGGGCGAGTGGGAGAGGGAGAAGCAGGCTCCCCACTGAGCAGGGAGCCTGATGTAGAGCTCGATCCCAGGACCCTGGGACCATGAGCCGAAGGCAGATGCCCAACGACTGAGCCACCCAGGCGCCCAGAATGATGCATTTTGGAAACAGTATAGCTCACCAGTTTAACAGTAGTGTAAATGGCAGGAACTTAATTTGGTTCCAGCTCTGATGCTGCTGCTTTACTGGTTCACATATGAAGACCTTAAACTCTGCCTTACACTTAACAAGAAAGCATTGGGCGCCTGGGTGGCTCAGATGGTTAAGCGTCTGCCTTCGGCTCAGGTCATGATCCCGGAGTCCTGGGATCGAGTCCCGCATCGGGCTCCCTGCTCCTTGGGAGCCTGCTTCTCCCTCTGCCTTTCTCTTTCTCTGTCTCTCTCTCTCTGTCTCTCTCTGTCTCTCATGAATAAATAAATAAAATCTTTAAAAAAAAAAAAGAAAGCATTGGCATTTTAGTAACTGGAGTCCACTTATGTATAGGTGACAGTACCAGAAGCCAGAGGGTGGGACAGTATATATTTAATGGGTAAAGTAAAAAAATTTTTAAAGGGTTCAATGATTTCTTAAAATTACAGGTTTAAAAGGTTTCTAAGTATGCTGAGATTGTAGTGTATAAAGGCTATTATAAAATTTTAACCTTTTGTCTCACACTTCTCATGCTTCTAATTTTCAGGTCTATATTTGGGTATTGAATGAAGAACAAGAATACAAACGAGCTTTTGATTTGGGAGCAACTGGGGTGATGACAGACTATCCAACAAAGCTTAAGGATTTTTTACATAATTTTTCAGCATAGAAAAGGAAGTACTCAGAAGCACTGAAAGATGAAAAGACCTAAAGAAAAACAAAACAAAACAAGTTTGCCATCATTTCCCTAAGCCATTTCCAGAATGGTAAAGGTTTAATCATTTAAGTTTTTATTACCTCATTTTTAAGCTTGTCTGAGAATGTAGAAACTATATATTGTATATTTATTTTAAAGAACATTGCATATTTTACATTTGTAAATTGTTTAGAAAGATAACTGGTTATGAGATGTAAGTAGATTATTGATCAAGAGTTCTGTATATGATGCATTATTCTATTATAAGTATTGTAAAATCAAAGACTATTGGAAAAATTTGATATTAGCCTTCACTGGAATAAGATCAACTAATTAGCAAAGCAAAATTATGGAAGGCCATTACAGCTATGCTGAGTTGTCTCGTTATTTCTAGGTACATCTTCGTTTAAAAGGAAAGAAAATGTAAGTGGGAGGAGAGCTTAGAAATCAGTGATATAGTTAGCTGACAAGCTGTACATTATTAACAGAAGGCAGGCTCAAAAAAAAGAACTGAAACTCATACTTGATCAGAAATAAAAACTGTAGACAATTAGATTTCTTGGTTGCTGTTGTTAATGGGGACATTCTGTTTGGAATCTTTAGGTGTAACAGTGTTACCATGTCCTTTCTTTTTGGCAGACATTAAAATTGGACTTATAAGACCCAAATAGTCATATATTTATGTTTCCTCTAAACATTATGTTTCTTCTAAACAAAATTTTCCATTTTTTTGGCAGTGACTAACTGTTTGGGCCTACATCTAGATTTTAAATAACGTCTTGAATCCTAATAATCATATGAAACTGATGAAAGTACATATCATTGTTTCTAATACATATGGTATAAACCACCTGTTCCTGACCTTTAAGGTTTAATTCTTCTGAATATTAAGGGGAAGCAGAATTTCTCAAAGTATTAGGCTTCACTTTCTCATCTTTTCTGATATGACTCCATGTAAAATTTTTCTAATCTTTTTGACTAATTTTCATGATCTCTTCGGGAGGTAAATATACTCTGGAATAATAAGGGTCTTTTACCTGGATTACATCTCTCACTTGGAGTTCGCCAGCTAGCAGCTCTGAAGGACGATCGTACTCCCACCACCTAACCCTTGACGACATAAATAACATTTGCTTTTTTGTTTCTTTGTTTAAACTGAAATAAAGTTTTACAAGAACAAAATAAAGGTTTTTCATTGCTTTTTTGCAGTTGTAATTCCAAATATACTTTATAGATTTTGGGGGGGGGCAGAATTTAATGAGGTGATAAATTGATAATATGAGTAAGCACACCTAAGATTTCTCTCTAGAGTAAGGAAAGCAAAAGAAAATATGGAAACACTTATGGTACAGAAGTTGCTTCTTGGCATTTGAACAAATAACTTGGGCAGGTAATCCATCAAATCAGTCCTTTTTACTTTCACTTGCTGTAATTTATGGTTATAGTTGCTAGGGATTATTTTGATCACTTTGATATGATTCTTTTTGTCATTTCTTCTTTTTGTTACTCCTTTTTGAGTTTTGCTTTGTTATGATTCAGAGAAGCTCATATCAGTATATATTTTGTGCCAACCAGTAGAAGATAAAGTACTCAATATGATAAAGATGTTTAGAAAGTCATATTTTAGAAGTTTGCTAATTTTGGGATGCCTGGATGGGTCAGTTGGGTAGAACATACAATTCTTGATCTCAGGGCTGTGAATTTGAGTCCCATGTTAGGAGTAGTTTACTTAAAAAAAAAAAGGTGTGCTGCTCTTACAGTCAAGGTGACTTTAATTCACTTAATATAAGTATATAGTATCTATAACAAGAGAGTTGATATTCATGATCAGATAACATCTCAATACTGCTTTTCTGATTGGAGCATCACATTTTATCTATTTATTTATTTAAAGTAATCTCTATGCCCAGTGTGGGGCTCAAACTCCAAGATCCCAAGATCAAGAGTCACATACTCTACCAACTGAGCCAGCCAGGATCCCCTGGAACATCACTTTTTTCTTTAAGATTTTATTTATTAGAGTGCATGTGTGCACAGGAGTGGGGGTGGGGGGAGGGGCATAGGGAGAGGGAAAAGCAGGCTCCCCGCTGAGCACGGAGCCTGATGGGTTCGATCCCAGGACCCTGGAATCATGACCTGAGCTGAAGGCAGACACTTAACCCACTGAGTATCCAGGCACCCATGGAGCAACACATTTTAAAGAGCTTACATACTCTTTCATTTTGAGATAGCTATTGCTAGGCATAGTGAACAGCATGGTGGGAAAGGTTGAGAAATGGTCACAAGATGTGATTAGACCCTTCTACTGGGATGAGGCTGGCAGTAAACGTGACAGGCCCAGCTATAAGTCTAGTCCAGCATGCCAACAGTAGCCCAAGTATTTGGCAATAGGCAACAGTTGGCCAGGCATTTTAGCAAGCAATTGACATGAGGGAGTTTTAATATGAAGTAGTGAGAGCTTCCCTGTAGGACTAAAGTCCTGGGTGTGTTACCACGGCAAAACAGAACACAAGGTACCAGAACTAGGACCCAGGTCTTGGAAAGAAGCTCATTTAATAGAACTGAAGAACAGAGTGATAACACTGGACTAATTATAGGAGTAAGATGCTACTGAGTCCTAGAACTATTAAACCTCTTGTTTCTGGCCGGAAGTGGTTCTAGAAATGGGAGAGGGGTCCTGACAATAGGTGGGCATCTAGGAGCCACAACTGTGGAGAAAGAATGGCCACAATGGGTTGGGAAAAGAGAACATAAAACATAAACTGTAGGATGTTGTAGTATGGGAAGTCATTAACAGAATGATTCATAACATGAATGATCCTGCTTAGAGCCGTGCAACGTGGTGGTGCTGGGAAGGTGCATTTAAACGATATATAGGGAGGGGCACCTGGGTGGCTCAGTCAGTTAAGCGTCTGCCTTCAGCCAGGCCATGGTCTCAGGGTCCTGGGATTGAGCCCCATGTTGGGCTCCCTGCTCAATGGGGAATCTGCTTGTCCCTCTTCCTCTGCTTCTCCCTGCTTGTGCTTGCTCGCTCTCTCTCAAATAAATAAATAAAATCTTAACCAAAAAAAAAGAGTTCCAGTTGAAGGGAAGTCATGAATGCCAGGTTGAAGAGCTCTTGGGCTCTTTCAAATAGGTGGCTAAACTCAAGACATTAAAAACAACCAAACTGCTAGGCAGTAATATGACATAATCACTTCAGTACCAAAAGAAAATGTAATTCGCCATCAGACCAGGCACCAAAATAAGATTAGAACTAAAGCAGTCAGATCCAGGAATCAAAGAGATCAGAATGCTGAGAGCATACCAAGACAATTCCTAAAGCCACGAGTGATGTCTAGCTTTTCTAACTCTTACATAGCAGACATACAGAAAATGGGAACATCCTATAGTATGAAGGAAGGAAATGAGCCTGAGCCAGAAAACAGTCCCAGAAGTCAGGTCAGAAGGCTAACCAGATCCAGTTGATCTTAAATTGCACAAAAATTAATTTGGCAATAGTCTACAGAATGGGAGACTCTTGCAGCAATCCAGGCCTGAGGTAATAAGGGTTTAAATGAAAGTGGTGGCACTTAAGTAGGGAAACGATGAATCTACATTTCTCTGAAAGGAAGAATTAGTAAGAGTTGATGACTAGAGCTTAAAAGGAGAAGGGAAAGTCAGTACTCATTCCAAAGCCGCAAGAAAATGGGGAACTTGAAGAGAGAAACCAGTCGGTGGTAAAAATGATGACTGTGTTGAGCTCTTGGGCTCAGTCAGTTAAGCGTCTGCCTTCGGCTCAGGTCATGATCCCAGGGTCCTGGCATTGAGCCCCACATCGGGCTCCCTGCTCAGCAAGAAGCCTGGTCTCTCTCTCTCTGACAAATAAATAAAATCTTTAAAAAAAAGTGCTATAAAATGACAGACATTTGAGGGGCTGTGCTTTTAAGTATATTAGTCCTTGGAGGAAAGGATAGTTGGAGAAATAGGTTTATGAGTTTTGTATACTTTATAGGTATGATTCTGCAAAGCTAGTACTTTAGAGGTGATGTTAGTTCCTTCTCAGTATTCTACTTGCAATTGGAATAGGTTACTATGCGATACATTGGTCTTGTTTGTCTGGTAGTTTTAAAATTTAGATGTAGGGTTTCATCATAAGATAACAAGACGGGGCCTAGACAGCTTCTGCTGAGTGAATGGGGATGATTATGCTAAAAGGAGGCTGAGCAGGTATAGTTTTGTGTTACCCATTCCCAATTTGACCAGAACTGCTCCACTTTTTTCTGTCTCACATGTGAGTTCCGCATTAAGGTTTGGTTTAAAATAGGAGTTTTCTAAAAAAAATTTTTGGCTTTTATAATCTTTGATCTAAGATCTTTTTCCCTTTCAGGCTTGAATAGAACCTCTCTTTCCTTCTTCCCTCCCTCCCTTACTTCCTAACTCACTCTAAGCCTTTTTCATTTTTTAAAAAATATTTATTTGAGAGAGAATGTGTGCAGGCGCAGGGGTAGGGGGCGGGGGAAGCGGGGCAGTGGGAGAGAATCTTCAAGCAGATTCTGCACTGAGCCGAAATCTTTTTTAAAAAAATTTTGTTTATTTGAGAAAGAGAGAGAGCACAAGCAGGGGGAGGGGCAGAGGGAGAGGGAGAAGCAGGCTCCCCACTGAGCAAGGAGCCCTATTCGGGGCTCAATCCCAGAACCCTGGGATCATGACCTGAGCCGAAGGCAGATGCTTAACTCACTGAGCCACCCAGGAGCCCTGACACTATCTTTAAATACATCCATTCATTCAGAAATTCCAGTGCTAGGAATAATATAATAGGATAAATGCCCCAGTGGTGACTATGCAGAGTGAAAAACTAGAAACTAACTATGCAACATTAAGGAACTAGTTAAATTATAGATACATCAATGATCTCATAGTACTGTTCTATATCTGCTAATACAAGATATTATCAAGTGAAAAGACTAAGTCATAAAGCTCTATACTGTGTAAACAAAAATATACATATTCATTTTAGGGGCACCTGGGTGGCTCAGTCATTAAGTGGCTGCCTTCAGCTCAGGTCATGATCCCAGGGTCCTGGGATTGAGCCCCGCATTGGGCTCCCTGCACCACAGGAGGCCTGCTTCTCCCTCTCCCACTCCCTCTGCTTGTGTTCCCTCTCTCGCTGTGTCTCTCTCTGTCAAATAAATAAATAAATAAATATCTTAAAAAAAATATATATATATACATATTCATTTTAAAACTGAAATGATATCAAAGTTTCAGTTGTGGTTTTTATGATTATGAGTGACTTGTTTTTACTTGTCTAGTTTTCCAGCTTTATCTACAATGAATAATTATCAATTTTAGTTAATCAAAATTAATGAAAAATCACTTAAAAATAAAAGCCTGTCCAGCTACTATAGAGCTGTTTGTGTCCAGGGCCTTAGCAGGTGACTCTTCTCCAAATCTGGCAATTTTTCTTAAGGAAAGAAACCTTTGGGCAGACAGCCTCTCTACTGCCCTGCCTGCCACTCCCTTGCAATGTATTCAATAAACTTCTATTTTCTTTGGGGAGAAAAAAAAAGGAA